ACCTGAAGTAAACAAGTAAAGTTCTCGAGAATATATAATGATAGACTAAGAATATCCCCTGTATGGGTTGAGAAAATATAGACGAATGTGAAATACTCGTCTAAGTGAACACCTACAACAGTGGGGTGAATGGACCTTAAGAGGTTAAATCCGGATAGAGTCATTAGAGCATTTGCATTGTGCATATATACTTGTGTTGTCTGTATGTGCTTCAAGGATTTTAAATTCTTGATTTATGAGTTGTGATTTACTTTAAAGTATGAGTTGTGTTTTATGAGTGTGCTTTGTCTAGTTCGTATGTTTCTATGATGTGTGTTTTGTTAATATCTTTCGTGATATGAAAGAATTGCTTGCTTCAATTTATTTTAGTCAAGTTTTTTTTGTGACGATCTCATATTATGTTGATGATATGAGTATTATTGGAGCTCCTGAAGAGCTTCCTAAAGCAGTTGATTGCTTAGAGACATGCGTTAAATTGAAGGATTTAAGATCCTTTTTATGGGAAAGGAAGGTAATGTTGAAAAAGTAAAAAAAAGTAATTTTGCATGAACAAATTATGTTCATCAAATAACATTAGGATTCTAAGATCACTAGAAGTGACCAAGATCCATTTATGCAACAAGAAAGAAGTAAATCATTAAGTCCTGAAGTACTAAATGTTGATGTAGGTCCTGAAGTACCATATGTTGATGCATCAGAGCACCAATGAACCTTGCTAGCAAAACACCATACAAAATATCATTTTGGTGTTGATAATATTAGCAAAATACAATATTTCCCTCCATGGAACGTTGGAAAATACTTTGTTATCTTTAGGAACAATATATGCGATTGTTCTATTATGGTATTATCAAAGAGTGATTTGGTGAATTATATATCCAAATTATATGTACCATTTGATCCTCATATTGGTTGATCGGAGATGAGCTATCTCTTACATATGGTGATATAACTGTTTCATAGAGAAACAAAACAAACTATAGTGGGCAATTCCTGAATGTATTTCGTTACACTTTGTGATTCACCATAGCTAAAGGACTTGTGGTTGTGAACTATTTCTAAAGGAAATGATCCTGACGATCATGGATAAAGAAAATCTAAAGATCATGCATAAGATTGACAATCTAGAAGATTGTTCACTAACTAACTCCCGACAACAATCTTTCTAAAAGTTGTTTGTGAAATTTGAGTTCAACGACTCAAAGATTTGAAATGATGTGGTCATGAGGGGGAGCATATACGCACTGCACTCTTTTTTCCTTCACCATGGTTTTTCCCACTGGGTTTTCCTGGTAAGGTTTTTAACGAGGCAGTATGAGATAGCGTAATGTAATCTAGTGGTCATCCAAGGGGGAGTATTATGTAAATATTGATATATGGATGACCAATGACCTACCACATTAGATGCTCACTTGGGAGTTACATGTAACCCCTATTTCTACATTATTATCTCTCATTCATATGCATTGATATAAGGATGTAGTGGTTACCAAAGTGAGCCTATAAATATAGCACACCATTGTATCAAAAGTGTAGAATGAATAAGAAGAACTCTTCCCTCTCTTCTCTTGTGTCTTTCCCTCTCTAATCATCTCTTGTAGTTGCTTATATTTTCATAGTTTCATAACACAACCCATGTAATCAAAATTCACCAAACGACATAGTAATTAAGCAAAAGAAAAAGCAAGATAGTGCAGAAAGAAGGTAATTATAATGTCACAACTGGGTAGGGCCCATAAAAAATATTCCCCAAATCTTGGGTTATCAAGTTTTTAAATCACAAACTAACTGGTGCTTAACAGACACTGAAGGGACAAAAGGATCATGGAGTACGAGAGAAAAAAATGGGTTAGAAAAAAATATTATATTTTTTTATATTGATTAATGGTATAATTATGTCCCTTTTCAACTGTAATTATAGGCCGTTAATCATTCATTAATCATAAAATAAAACAAAGCACAAGCATGAAGCAACTGCCCTTGCAAAGTGAAGGGCATGAGGCATGCCAACAACAGCCAAGAGTGCAGTGCCAGCTTGCATATTCCACGACTACTCTCGACAATAAATCTTGTCATATATATCAGATTGTCTAAATTTTAGTTTAATTAATATACATGGTGCAGGTGAATTGCTTTCACAAGAATAAATTGTGATTGAAAGTTTGTTTGGATCCCAAGTTATTTTAATTACCGTATCGCGAGCTGGTCGATTGTACTGGTTCAATTACATACGAGTGATTTGTCAATAAATAAGATACTTTACTTATATCAACAGCTAACAAAATTCGTTATGCAGGTTTGCCCATGAGAGTGGAAGTCGCTCCTGTTATGACCACTTCATAGGCCTGGCCATTGGTTAGTTTCGGTTATAACCGATAACCAATTAACCGAAATGCCGACCCCCCTTACCAACAACCGACCGAAATAGACTTCGATTATCTCGGTTATCGGTTAGTCGAACAACCTTCAAGACCAAAACCATCTCGTCCAGCCTCCAAAAACCGACCGAATTTCGGTTACCGGTTAGCGGATAACCGGCCGGTTAACCGGCAACAGAAACTCCACCCCTACCACTTCGTTGGATTACTCGTGAATTATGATGGGCGCTTCATCAAGATTGTTGTGTTAACGATGAATACTCTGATAATAAAAAGGGGATTGCTTGTCCAATAATTTATAATAATGACGTGGGTTTTGTAGGGGGAGGCAAACTTTGAACAAAATCAAACTAGGGATTGAAGAGAAGTGTATTTTATTATATGGAGAGAGAGAGGGATGGCAGAATAGATTCCATATGTATATATACAATACACAGAAGAATCCAGTCAACTAAGTTATGATAAGTGGCGAGCAGTTTTGGAATCTCGATCATATGGGAGTTTGAAGACTGAACGACACATAGAATCTGAGCATAAGATCAGGAAGAGATTTTCAATGTTTTGTTGAAGTAGAAGGGAATATATTGGACCTGAACAGTGAACTGAAACAGAACTGAACTTGAAAAAACTGACGACAAGCTCAAAGACTTGCAGTTGCAGCAAATATGTCCCCTCAGATTAAACAATATCAAAGATTCGTATCAAAGAAATTGGAAATATGGGGCAGGGGAAATAATTAACAAAGTGAACTTCTTAATAAGAGAATAAGAGTAGACTCAACTCCTTTCTAATTAAAAAACCGCACAGGTAGATCTCGAATTTAAAGTTCATAACTGTTATTACTACAGTGAACGGATACATGCATATAACGCTTTTCATGGATATCGATCAGATTGGTGTACGTTTTTAATCCACCTGTCATCTTAATTGAGTTGTAAATTGTAATCGCACCAAGTTTACATGATTTCTTATTCCTAATCTATGTATGAGTTAAATTTGTCAACCAGTAATTTATGTGGTTTGTGGATGGTAAAATAAAACTGAGCTCATGAACTTATTATATTACGTCAGAATAAGTTGACAGAATACCGTTCTAACTTCTAAGTCCCTCGGGTGGTGATTGGTGAATGCCTCCAAATGCACAGTTTGTTACGTATGCGCTGGTTTGGCGCATTTGCATGGCTCAAAGTGAAAAGAAGGAACATTTTTCTGGATTTTTGCTAGGACAATGGACAACATATATATATATTTGCATATAATTAGTCATATATGGTTTCTGGATTCTTACAATTGTACTTAAGGCTACAAGAGGTTTCTCGGGTTTTGTTATGTTATGCATGTCTATGAATGATTATGCCATTTTTATGGTGGGACCTTTGCCAATTGGCTAGTTTGGTCCTCCCAGTTCAATCTGATATCATCTTGTAAACGTTTGGTTTCATTTACAAGAAATTGACAAAATTTCAAAAGAGTTAAATGTTGATTTATTCATTCATAAGAAATTGAAGGAGTAAGGCGTAAACTAGAATTATTTACTTTCAACTATGAACTTTTCAAAGCTTAGAGTTTATAGAAATTAAGGCAGTACTTTCGAAAATATGGATAGCGAGAGAATCTATCCTTTTTTTAGCATTGTTATCCTCAAACTAGAGTTTGGAAGTTTTTCAAAAAGACTCTCCCAACACGACGAAGGAAGTAGTATTTTGCCAAACATAGAATGATCTATTGACTAGATATGAGGTTGGTATGACGTATTTTCGAGTTTGGTTACACGTTGTATCATTTCAAGGGAAATTTATTGAAGAACGCATAATAAGTAATTGGATAAAATAAAAGGTATCAAGTTAGAAACTTGACTACGGGATAATTAATGTGTATCAAGTTCATCCAATATGTGCTAGAATATAGGAGTCAGGAAATACATTAAGATCGCATAAATAGTAATTAGATTAACAAAAATTATATTAGTGTATAATTTACGAGGCTGCTAGAAAGGAGGAAAAGTAATCACTACGTTACTAACTTTGTTAAACAATAATAACAATTTAATCAAAATTCAGCTCCTCCTCGGCTCCTCCCACAATTCACTTCCCAAACTTGACAAAAATATTCAACATAGTTAGTAAATACTCCGTTTAATACACGTATATGTACTCGTACGTACTTTATCCGTTTAAAACTTCCGTATCCGTATTATTGTCAAGCCGTTTCATTTTTTTCCGTTCATTGGATGGCTCCCGTACTAAACACGTATAAAATCCGTATAACACGTTTAATATCCGTATTGAATGAATTAAATTGTGAACTTTACTATTATTTATATATTTATTTATTTTAAAATAATTTATTTTTATATATTTATTACTATTAACGTACTATTAAACGTACCTTTAGCTTAGAGATGACGTAAAATACCCGTACGTATTTTTTACGTAACTTTCCCGTACCGTATTTTACTAACTATGATATTCAAGAAGATACCTAAAACAAAGCTAAATACACCTTTTATACCCAAACAAACAAAAAACTAAACTCGGCCACTGAGTTCACCTTTCTCGACTCAGTGAGCCAACGAGTCAGCACCCTAGCTAATCTGACCACCAAAAAATCCCTCTGACGATCTCAGCCACGGAGCAAAGGCCTCGAATCTCCGACGAACTCCCCGTTGTTGTTGTTGCTGCTGTTCCTCCGAACAACGCAGGAGTGAGCGCACCGCTGAATCTCCTCCAGATGCAGAAACCTCCTGATCGAATCGGATCTCGACGCCAATTTCAAAATCTCCTCGAACTCCATCTCCTCGCAGGGGATCCGCAGCGGCCCGGCGTTGGCGAAACCGAACTCCTCCTCGGCCTGCGCGAGGACGCGCCTGAAGATCGGATGGTTGAGGTGAGTCGCCCGGACGACGAATCTCCGGCAGCTCGCCCCGACGCAGACGGCGACGTGGCCGGCGGGGACGTCGGATGGCGCCGCCGCGGCGGGTCTCGACGGTGAGAGCGACGGCGATGAGCTCGAGGACGAGGAGGCGGAGGATGAAGAGGCGTTGGCTCGGGCCTTCCTGCGCCATTGCTTGAGCATCTGCTGGATTCTGACGATGTGGCGGATTTTGTTGGATTTCGGCATTGGAATTCGGAGGAAGAGGAGAGGAGAGAAAGTAAAGGGAGAGAGAGAGAGAGAGCTGTTTGGAGAGTGTGGTTGGGTCCAATGAGGATAAAAAGAGAGGAGAGAATAATTGTTTTATTAGCGGTTGAGACGAGAGAGAGAGAGAGAGAGAAAGAAAGAGAGAGATAGATAGAGCCGCTGAAAAGGGGGAGGGTTATTCGGGGAGAGAGATTGGAGCGGAGAGGGGAAGGGTTTTTAAAGAAAAAGTGGAGTACGGAAATGCCCCTGAATTTTCAAGATTCTTACGAGATTTTGTATGTTTGGTTGGTTTCAAAGTTTCCACTATTGTTCGGTGGTGGTTGGTTTCGTCGGGGGAGTAGCGTTTGTTTGAGTCTAAGATTTGAGTAACTGAACTCTGTGGTTAGGAATTGCAATGGGACAGGTTCGAGGTGGGTATCTTGATATCAATACTCGTCTCATGATAGGTCGGGTAGTTTATTACGGAACGCAGGTTGGGACAGGTCGACTCAATGAGTATGTAATTTAAATGGAAAACATTAGAAATATTAGTTATTTTCACTATATGACCAAAAAAACAAATCATAATATGATAAAATATAGTTAAGTTATTGGAGAAGTTGAGATTTTCACTAATTTACAACTTTATAACAGCTAAAATATGATGTAATAAAAAGAAAATCCGAAATAATTTGACTAAAATTACATGTAATTTAGTCAAGAACGGGTCAAGAATTGGGCGGATCAGGACAGGCCAGGTCGATGAGAATACCCATCCCGCCTCGCCCCGCCTACCCGCCCCGAAATAGGTCAAACAGGTCAGGTAAAACGGATCAGGTCGAAATTGTCATCCCTATTTGTTGTCATATTGTTTGGTTTTGGTCTTGGGTTCGAGTAATAGGTACAATCTGTGGTGGACAAAGGTCAAATCAATCCAGAACCAGGTTGTATTGAGGTAGGACTGGACAAAAAAAACAAAGAAAAAATGAGAATCAGAACCGGACCAAAAACGTGTTTGATTCATTTGGTTCAACTCGATCCCCAAATTTAATTTCGACCATATTTTTTTGTGCTTACAATAATTCATAGGACCAACTAGGACCAGATTTTTTACCCTTGGTTTAACCTGCAACCTGTTGACTCACCTACACATTTATGGTTAACCCAAGCAGTCCTTTGACTCAATGAGTTTGTACCTTGGGCAATTTTACCACCCTTTTGCTGTGAATGTATGCCCAAACCTTTTAGTCTCTCCTTGATTAAAGGGTGTTGCTTTGGGGACATATAATCAAAGCAAAATGAACCAGTTACATTTTTTATGCATCTAAGCCAAAGATTGAGATACTGGACACCGAACAAAGTTGTTAACCCAAAAATATGGTACTGCCTTGAGGAAATAATAGAATGAGGGTACAACACACATTGAAATCAAAACAAGCCAAACAGCTTGTGTTACTATCTGGCCCAGCATATGACATTTTCCAAAATGATCCGGAAAGAAAGAAAACCCAACCGATTTGCCTACCACAACCAGAAACAATAGAAAACGGGTAACTAGTATGTTTTACCTAAACTCAAAATCTCGTTTCATGGTAGAAGACCCTTCAAAAAAGTAATTGACCAGCATGTAAGGTATTCTGTCAGCATATGCAATCACGGACTTCATTCTCGTAAATGGAGAGGGTTGTTGTTCCAAAACGTCTGAAATATTGCTCAGTACCTACTACACAGCAGATGCAAACTTAAACCGTAAGGTAATATTCATGGAATGGAAGAAACACTAAGAATACAACGATCTTGTCCACAGATTACATTGATGGCGTACAAAATTCAGAGTACGAGATATTGCACTATTCAAACCTTGGAACAGGAGACTAAATGTTTTGCCATGCATTCCTGGTCGTCCTCCATAAACTCATTGATCATGATATCAGCATGATCAAGGGAAGGAATGCTTAACTTGGTGAACTCCAAGGAGTCCAGGTCATGCAGAAGATCAGGTCAGCCTTGGTGCAACTATTTCCATCTCGGAACACACCAGACCTTTCATTTTCAGGCTAACGAGTTGGGATCCATATGTCTTAAGAATCAGCCCCCGAAAAATTGAAGTCCAGATAGAGACAGTGACTCACTACAAAAGGATCAAAGTCTGCATCCTCATCGGCCATCAATAAGTATCGTTTTAAGACAAGTTGTCAGCTTTCCAAAACCATAGGAAAACTGTAAGTCTCTTGGGTCTTGTTCCCACGTAGTCCAGGTCAATCAGTAAGTGATGAGTATAATGAGATAAGGCATACTGGATGACCTTGCCAAACAGGCTATAAATCTATTTCCCTGGATCCTCATTGTCAATGTAGCTTATCTCGCTGACATCACAGGGACAGCAGAGGGACAAAATGTTCCCCATGTACCTCCCGAAACTCGAATATGCGAAGCAGACAAAAGACCAGGGACATGTTTAAAATCCAATCTCCATGCTCAGGACAATGCAAAGGTTTGAACCGCAATGTCGAGAAACACAACATGACATTATAAATAATGGTTTCCGGAAGATGGAATTAACCTGTCAGTAGTAGCAGAAACATCTCCTTTTTCACGGCCCCCCTTTTCCCATTCTTCCCCAACTCGCAGCTTCTCCTGAGCGTTGTGCCTAGCGCTCTCTACTGGTGTAAATTACCCTTCCGTTTTTAACTCTGGAAACCCTAGAACGAGAATAGGAAACGATTAGAAACAGTTAATTGAGCAAGAAAACGGAATCAATAAATAGAAGTTCACCTGTTTTCGATCATCATTACAAAAACAGGTGGAGGCTCTAGCCGTTGTGTCTCCCGCCATGAGAGGCACAATGGATCACCTCCAATGTGCTGCAAACTCCCTATAGATGGATGGCCGCAGTCGCTAAAGGCTGAATCTGATAAACAGAAAGGGGAAAGGACGACTGTTGACATTTCGTCGGCCGGAGGGGAGGTATGATTCCGATTTAGGGTTTTGGTTGCAGGCGCGCAATTCAGACTTCAGCGGGAAAATGCAGAGGGAAATCGAATGGACTTCATGGGCAAATAACGGATTTCCGGTTTATCTTCTGGCCTCTGGGCCAGTTGTAGGTCATGGGCCCATACCATTTAAGGAATTAAAAGCCCAAACAACTCACGAAGACAATGGTTACATTTTTCGGAAAAAATCCCAAAATACACATGTTTTTTAAAAAAAATTCCAAAATACACACATTATAAAAAAATTTCCGAAAATACACATGTTTGGGCATCACCGCTGCTGTTGTCAACAGCAGTGAATGCATTCACCGCGGCAAACCAAAGCGGTGAATACATCACCGCGGTTGACGGCCGCGGTGAATGTCTGACGTAACACTGAAACTTCAAACAAACGTAACTTTGCGCTCGGTAATCCGATTGTAGCAATTTTTTTTATTCCATATAACTTTTCAAGATCTTTCAATCATAAACAAGACTTCATCCCAAAAAAAAAAATCATTTGCTATCCCGAACGAGCAATTTTTTGATTTTAACAAACTTTGGAAGATCATAACTTTGTGCTCCACAATCCGAATGTCATGAAACCTTTTTTGATTTTGCATAACTTTTGAAGTACTGCAACTTTGATTATAACCATAACTTTTTTAGTTGCAACTAAACCACATAAGTCGACTTCCGGTTGCACCGTTATATTTTCGTCCTTAAACTTAACGGCAGGTTTTAAATTGAATTTTTCCACCTTAATTTACACAATACCATTTTTCTTTAACTTTCTTTCTCTCCACAATATAAATATTTTTTTTATAAAAATGAAGGATTGAATAAACCCGATCACAATGAAACAATTGTAAATTTTGACAAAAACAATAAAAGAGGGCATAAGATAAGTAAAGAGAGCGCGGGTAATACCAAAATGAAGATGAAAGAATGTGAGGGAAAATTGAATTGTGTAGATTGATGCGGAAAATTTCAATTTGAAATTTGTCGTTAAGTTTAAGGATGAAAAATAAGAGCACTTCTACTATGCTATATAGCATTGGTGCTTTAATGTACAACTCAAAGTTGTACCATAACATTAAATGTATAAGTTTAGGTTGTACCATAAAGCAATTTGTACCATTATGTTATGGTACAACTTTACAACTTGAACTTGTACCATCACATAAGGTACAAGTTCAAGTTGTACCATAAAAGAATTTGTACAAAAAGTATAGGTACAATCTAAAGTTGTACCATAACGTAAATGTACAATTTTAAGTTGTACCAAAAAGGCAAAACCTTATAGCACCAATACTATATAGCATTGTAAAATTTCTCGAAAAATATAGCAGTGCAATCGAAAGTCAACTTATATAGTTTAGATGTAACTAAAAACAATTTAAGTAATTAGTATTCAACGAAATCAATACTTAATTGTCAAAAAAAAAAGAAATTAATACTTACCTGTTATTCCGTGCAATTAACCTCATATAAGGTGATCAATCTCGTCATGTGACACAATTTGCATGATAATTTTTTTTTACGGTGATCTTTTCCAATCCCCATTTTGTCCTTCCGTAATCTCGACCTGTAGGATCATATTGAGAGTATCAAGAACTCCTCGTGGTAAATCATAAGCTATCAATTGGGGGTACTTTGGGTATTGTCCTAACAAGATGGAATAAACCAAAAGAAAAAACAAATTTAACAAAGGAAGAAAAAAACAAAGGAAATATGCATCTGTGATCCGTACGATTGATTGAATATAATCTGAACCACAAGTAGCCACATTCTCTGACAAGAAACTACATGCATATGTTGAAACTATATTCTTTCTCTTGTTCCTGTTTCCATGCCGGATCTGGTGAGTGTAATTGGACTGGCATAATCAGTAACAATAATTTGTAACTAAATCGCAGTACAAGGTAAAAAAAATAATAATCTTGATACGAATGAATATGGAACGAGCTGATTCTTGACACGACTATATATCTTTTCGATTTAGGGCTCGTTTGTTTGTCGGATTTGAAAATGAGGGCTTTGCGTTTTAAAAACCTTTGAATTCATGATGGATTTGTTGCATTATGGAATTGGAAGAGTACATTGTTTGTTTAGTTGATTTTTTATCATGGATTTATGATAAATTTGTCTCACATTTTTGCCTTCAATTATCAAATCCCAAATGAAAAGTGAGATTTACAAACCCCAACGAATTTGTGTCTCTCTGCAAGTAATGGATTTGTGTCAATTTCATGATGTTTGAGATTTGAGTGCCAAATCCATTACCCAAATCCCCTAAGCAAACGATACCTTAAAATCAATTCTCAAAGAATGAAGAACAATGAAAACATGGACAGAGAGATCGAAAGATAATCCACATTACATTGCTTGAAAAGTTGAAACTTTCTCCCACAGCAAAACCATCTTTTGGGTGTGAACTGTGGGGAAAATGAAACCATAAGTTGCTTTTTATACAGAGTTGAGACTTGGGACTCCCCCCCATTGCCTAAAAATAATTTGTCATGGGCAGTACTTTCCTAGGTCAGTCATTAGGCCCTCTAAACCCAAAAAAAAAAAAAAAAAAAAAAAACTTAACTGAAAGGAAGAAAGAAGAAGAAAAAACAATCAAACCCAGATCTAAAACAATGAAGAGAGAATGGAGATGTTGAAAAAAAAGATGAACTCTGCATCTTTGGCCATCTCCAAATTCTTCTCCATTATGTCACGGATCCCATTGAGTCCCCAACCGTTAGCACGCGACCGACTTATTGCGACGAACTGGTTCTCGAATTCTTCATCGGAGCATAGAGGTGAGAGCGCGGAAAACAACTTCCTCACAAGGGATGGTGAGACCCATGTCGTGATCGAAACCAAACTCCTCCTCGGCTCGTCTGAGCAGGAACTGGAACTCAGGGTGGGTTAGGAACGAGATCGGGACGATATACCTACTCCTCTTCTCCCCTACGTAGACTGCAAAGTGTCCCTTTGGGACATCCAAGGGTGGGAAGCAATCATCATCATGATCGTTGTTGTTGTTGTTGTTGTTCTTCCCCAAGCTAGAGCACCTCTTCAGGATTTGCCTCAAGACTTTTGCTTGTGCCAGCTTGTTTGATTTCCTGACTGCCATTTTCCTTTCTGTTTTTTTGCTATGAACTCTTTACACACTCCCTTTCTTTCTTTCTTTCTTTCTTTCTCAAGTGAAGAATGGTGTTTTAGGATGTAATGGAGGAAATGGGTATTTATGAAGGAATGGGAATGTGGGACAAAGGACAAAGCCAAATGTGGGAGTGTGGGTACTGTTGAAGGACACACCACGGGTTGGTTTTTACAACTTCTAAGGGTATGTTATTAAAATATGTGGAGTGTGGAGATTTTGAGGTAAAAATAAGAGTATATGAGAGTGAAAGAGGGACATTGTGGGGTGCCATCCTCACTGGTTTTACACTTCTTTGTTGCCCCTCCTAATGGCAACATGGTCCCTCTCTCTCTCTCTACACCTCCACCACATTCCCAACTCCCAAGTCTTCTTCTCTCTCATTGACAAAAAGATAGCAAACTTCTATCTAACCAGAATCATCGTATGACACGATGTTTATCCGAACTGATCTTTCAATTGTCGTGCACACCTTCATTAGTACGAGCAGCATATCATGCCTCCACTTGCGCTCTTTGATTGTATACAAAAAACAAATAGTAGCACCGCTTCGTTACAATCGGATTTTGTATGACATTCTGGATAGATGGAATCCAAACTTAACTTTTCTTACCTGTTTTCCCTTTCACTTCACTCAAACCAAGAAAGCTAGAATACTTGTATATAACAAGTCTGAACAACGGCTACCTAATTCACACTGTTTGTTGACTGTCCATATAAAGAAAGCTAACCACCCATCTCCAAGAAACAGTAAAAACAAAGAGGAAAAACCAATTGTTGAATTTTCCCAGCATATATAAAAAAAATGGGAACACAGATCTCTCAGGAGATTCAAGAGATCAAACCATCAGGGTGTTTTTTTAGGGTTTGTCCGTTTGTACTCAGGCCTCAGCTCCCCAACTTTCACCGTATAGTATAATGGGATTACGACAGAACCCATGCATCAAGAAATGGAGAAGTGTGTGTTTTTTTTTTATATGCAACAAGGTACGGACTTTTGCCCTGCTTCCATCCCCTGTCAGTCTGCATACATACTATATAGTAACTGCAAATTGACCATCCAATTCCACCTGTGAGTTGCATGCATTTCGATTCGGCTTCAACTGCTTAAATTGGTAGATATTGACGCGGCTTCTCAATCATCGGATCAATAAATCGAATGATTGTAACATGCTGATCCAAACATTTTTCTTCGCGTGTTTTTTGCCATTAATCTTATCACGAGTTGGACGAAAGAGTAAGCACGTAGAATGTAAACATTATGCTTGCCGCCTACAACTAGAAGAATAACCGGATCGAATTCGAATGCATATCATCACATTTAGTTTATCGATCAAGTATCTTAATCTGTTCTCTCTGTTTCTTGACTTTGTCCCTTCCCTTGTCAGCTCTCTCTCTCTCTCTCTCTACAGTTTGTGCCTGAGAATTGAGATCACGGACTTAACAATTAAAGGTGGTACTGGACAGTACAAAACTGTTTTTTTTTTACAGTTTTGGGTTTGTTTGTTTGTTTGTTAAATATACTTGAGTGCAGCTTGTGATTCTCTCTGTTTTTCTGTGTCCTTTTCTGTTTCCAGCCACACAAAATATAATAACACAACAGCAGCCTTCTGCAGTGTTTCTACACTTATTTAGCAATCCCATGTGTGTTTTTTTTTTTACTGCTACTTTCTGCAGGTCTTGACATGAATGGCCCTCCCCCAGTACCCACCCAAAATTCCATCTACCCCTATCTTTTATCTTTTGCTTTCACATTTCAATCCTTCCTTTCCCATCAGCCTCAAGAAAAACAGTTAAGATTCTTAACCCATGTTCCCTTCCCCTTTTACCTCCCTCAAAATGACTACTTTGAGAGGTTCAGTCATTATGCTGGAAGGGTCCTAGTAGGATGTATGGTGACATGTTGGATTGTCCTTTCAAACATTTTTTTCTGTTAGTGTATCACACAATTCAACGATCGGAAACGAACGAGGAGGCGATCGATGCCATCCACATGATCTGAATCCCACCACCAGCCTATTCAACCGCTATAGATCAATAGCTAGTGTATTAAACCAGCACACGAGAACAAAATCGATCTGAACACCGAACTAGGATAAACAGCCATGAGTTGCCTACAATTCTTTCGCAACTTCGTAGTTAGACATTAAACCGTTAGAATCACCGGTTTGAAACGCCAATTTGGAGTCTGGATTTTCCAAAGCACTCTGTTTAGAACTTGAAAGCTCCAGCTAACCATCTAGCATCTGTTAGTCCTAATCCCTAATCACTTTTTGAAAATTCAGGACAGAAAATGAGTCCAATTATGCAAGGCGGGCTAAGCTGTCTTAATAACTCTTTTTCCCCCCAAATTGCTTTCAACATTCTCTGCTTTTTCAATCCTTCAAAACACTTTTTTCAAATTGCAGACCAATTATACAAAGCTAAGCTGTTTTTGTACCTCTTTGTCGTCCCAAATTGCTTTCAGCATTCTCTATTGCTTCTTCGAAATCCAGAGGTTATCCATATACTTTGGTACTTCAATCTTTATCTAATCTCCTTGTGTGACAACTAAGACTGTGAGCCCTTTAATCCATCCATGAGGTCAGCCTCACTTTCCATGGTCGTTTCTGTCACATATTGAATAATGGGTTTCAGACAACTGAATGCCGGCTGGCTAACTAGTTATATATTATCTCAGCATTTATAGCACACCATAATGTGAGAGGAAGCAACTAAGAAACAAAAAGGAATCAACATTCACAAAGACTGTTCATCAAATGACCTTATGCAGCCAGACCAAACCTCTACAACGGAGAAAACAAATGGATATGGGATGAAACAGACACAACAACAACCATACAAGTCATCCTTAATTATATCCAGAAGAGCGATGTTGGCTGCCACTTGCAAGAGATTTAAAAGAAAAAACCCAAAGTGTCAACAATTGCAGGCTAGACTTGCCATGTGGTCCAAATTACAAAACAAAATGAACACCAACAAAAATCTGCAGAATGAAATAAAAACTGCTTAAAATGAGCACCACTGGTATCAATATCATTAATTCATTCTCACTCTCGAGCACTGTGGCTCCATCTCAGAAACAGACTTGCAGGCCTCCATGTTCTGAGGCTGAGAAGATTGATCTGCAAATACCCTAAAAGATTTAAAGCTTTGATATGTTTCTGTCATCTTTATTTTTTGTTTTTCCTCACTACAAGTCCCTGTGTGTGTGCCCACAAATATGCTTATATATTCAATGCCTACATCATTTTCTCTGGATATTGTTGGCCTTCTGCAATAGATTCACCAATATGACGCCAGTGCTTAACCATGGTTACTGTTATCCATAAGTAGACTCATCTAAATTCTCAAGGGTTCACCATAGTTACTGAGAGGCAACCCATGAACATGCCATTTCCAATCATGTAGAGCAAGGACAACAAGTATATTGATAAAACTCTAACCCCAGGTACTCGAGAGATGCATGTAGTCCTAGTACCATGACAACGACGTGGACAATAATCGATTCTACTTGCTGATACAGCTACGAGTACGATTAACAGTGTCGACAAAAAATTACCCTGATGGTCCTTGTCTTGAAGAAAGGCTCTCCCTTTCCCACGTTATGTGAATCAGATTGACTGCAGGAATAGACAACGAATGAATGTAGTAGGAGGGGGACTGGAAAGGCCCACCATTTCTCACAGAAATGAGTTGTGCTGCTGAGCCCAGAGGAAGCTGAGGTATTTCCCCCCCATTATAGTTGGAAAGAGACCCTCCTGCCATTTTTCCCCTTCAGCACATGAAGGCCATGTTACCTTTGCCTGCAAAGGACAACTTTATAAGGAGCATGCAATTTCAGTTTCAACTACCTTCAAATAGCAAGAAATTCTCAACTACCCATATTTCCCTATTTCCAAACTGTAACTTCCTACTTCAAAATGGGAGGAGACCTGTCAAGATATTTTCCCTAGATTCTCTTTCATCCCCTCATTGCAGTTGTCCTGCCCACTTAGTTCGTACTAGACATTGAGGTCCCATAATCATTGCACTGAGAGATGAAGCTAAGAGATCATTAATGCATGACCTTGTACTGTTATTCCTCTTTTTTTTTTCTCTCCTTTTAATCTGCTTTCCAAAAACCAGAGTCTTATAGCTTGATAGTAATTCAACAGAAGCTGTGACCAAGAAATTCTTCCTACAATCAACTCAATACGTGATGACATTACATTGTAAAGCGAAAGAAAAAGTAAACTCTGAAATCACATGGGGATGCAAGGATGCAAGTCAGAAGAAACAATAGAAAGGGGTCCAAGGCTGCAAATTGCCAGGTAAGAACAAACTTAACATCGTTCTATCAATCGGGTCTTCAGTCTTCTTAGGTGGGTTTCAGTTATTATGCCATGAGAAACAATTAAGATGATGTCAATCGAACAACATTAATAATGAGATTAGGACATCCACAAGAAAATGCCTGGAGCAAGAAAGTTAGTGGTTTAGGTAGCTTCATAAAGGAAGAATCAACACAGTCGTATAGAGATATACATGAAGAAGGGCCCTTTTGTATATTATACTAAGAAATACAAGAGAGAATCAAAGATAAGTTGCTATAGCATACCTGGTTTGAGCCAAAGAGGGGTCAAGGGTGACAACGGTGTTGAAATGACCATGACAATACCTTCAGGACCCCATTCCAAAGCGTCACAAGTACTTGTTATGAGTACTCAAGAAGGGCCCTAATGTATAATTACACTACTGGTGATGTTGCTTCCATAGGACCACCTCGACATAAGAACATGAAGCCTGTAAAAAGGTTAAAACACACTATCTGTGCAAAGCTGACAACAATCACCCACTGCACAGCAATGATATTGAGGTGGAAAGGTGCTTCAGTCAACAATTTTCTACCCATGAGCATGAATGTGACGATCCAAAATTTGCAGATGGTGATCTCTTTACTTCATCATCTGTGTATTCTGATATTATTAAGAATTTTTGGTACTTTGGCTAGTAAGTTTATGTTAAATCGTAAAGCAACAAGTCTGTTCTTCTGATAGGCATGAAGATGTTGCAAACTGGAACAAGAATATTAACTAAAAGCATTATCTAGCCTCATCCTTCATCGATATCTCACTCAATTCAGTGTGCCAAGTCCAAGGTGTAACATCAACGTCAAGGATCCATGTGTCAAAACACGATCTAGAAATACAACTAAGCAGTTACAGGAGCTGCAGTGAATTCAATATTTTCTATTAATGATGACATGATACATTGCACATTGCTGCTCTTTCTTACTGTACAGAACGACATTTATAATTATCCATAGATTCCAGGCAGAGGACCAGACGTGAGCTGGTAAGAACTTAAGGACAAAAGAGGTAGCAGGTGAATGACAAAGCTCGATAATACATTAGCTTACTGGTCCAACTATTCTGCTGCAAAACTCCTAACTCTTTGCTGGGGAAACAATGCATATTAGCTTATAGGATTGCATATTTCTGCGCATATATGGTGAATTACTGGTCGGAAGAAGGTTTCAACTGTTGCTGCTGCCCTTCAATCACGGTTATCTGTCGTCTGAGTTTTGCAATATGAGTTTGCACCTGAAACATTGGACCTGAACTGTGTCAATACATCGAATTGATGCACTTCCTGGACGAAAATGATTTTTTGCAATTTATGATGCCGTGCAAAACTAGAACAGATGAAGGCAACATAAGGAACAGAACAGTAACCTATATGCGTGGAACTCATACATCAATATTATTCCAACTTGGAATGCAGAAATTTGTAACTAAGGTTCAAAATTAATCAACCGGCAAACGAGAGGATGTTCCATCCAAACATATGAAGGAATTATGCATCAATAGTAAAATATTCTGTAACCAGAATTGGAACACTTCCGATTAATGTTTTAACACGATGCTGCATTGCTGCTCTGGTATCATGCAGGTATTAAATGTGCTATCGTTGCACGCAATGACCTTGATAGTGGTATCGTGAAGATCAAATATATAAAGATAGATCTAGAAATCAAGTAGTTAAAATGGACAACATTACGAGAATTCAACAAGGGCATGGTTAGCACTTAACAGATGCACGAGAATCTGTTGAAGGATGTGACAGTAACTTGGATATGCTATTATGGTAATGAATGTAAACACATGGGAACAATTGATAATGAAACGGAGTGATAAAAAATCTGACCTGTTGGCGAGCTGCAGCAAGTTGTAATAGCTCATCTGCTTCAGAAAAATTCGTGAACCATTGGCTTAACGGATGGTCCTTAGTGTCGCCTCTCTTCCTTTCACTTGGGTCTTCAACTACCACCATAAACACATGAAACTGAAGTTATTGAATACAAAACATTAAGACTGAAATTGCAGTAACTTGGCTAAAAGACATACCAGGAGTAGGGAAAGTTAAACCAACAGGCAATCTAGGCACGTTCACAGCAGGATGATTCTGCACCCGAGCTAAAAAGCTCTCTGAAGGCTCAGGGAAAACAATCTCATCGTAGGATTCTACTACAACTGGCTTCTTGATTGACAAGGAAGTAGACTCATCTTCTGGGTACAACTTCAATTGATGATATCTGTGAATAGTTAAACCCCTCAGAAAACTCAGTTGGAAGATAACAGAAATGCAAGGTATAACGTAACATCTTAAAACCAAGTTGGGTTATTTGACACAAAAAATAAACAAGTTAGAAAGCATCGCCATTTATAATTTGCTTCATGTGTTGTAGTAATTAAAAGTACGGGCTACAAGCTTCTCCACAGAAACAGACTGCAATTGGCTGATAAATTAACTAACAACACAATCGTACATTCGACATATGTTGTATAACTTAGAGGACAAAAGAACAGAAATGAAACAGGAATTGGGCAAAGGAGCTCACAAGCTTAGAGGCTTCTCACAAACATCACTGTGGAAGTGAAGTGTTATAGCTATCTCAAATTCTCCCCATCCTTGCTCTGATAGCTCAAAAGGCGGCGATTCAACAACTCTTGTTGGATTGTTGAAGCTAGAGTGAAGCTGGAAAACAACCTTCTTTATCACTCTTCTGGTGTCCTCATTTGTAGCCCCTCGTACATAGACTGTCCACTTGTGAGATTGATACCTGATAAAAAAATTAAATAATGTTAATCTAATTTTTTCAATATGTGAAAACAGAATGGCAAACTAAACAACTGATTTGAGCATGGCTCCAGCAAAAATACTTACTCATTTGCTTTTTTACCAAGCCAGAATGCTATATTGCCATAAACGATTGGAACACTTATCTCAACATCCTTGAACTTCTTGCTCAAAATCTAGAAATAAATTAGAGGGGAAACAAAACTTAGTTACAACATCACTAACAAGAAAATTCAGAAAATAATGAGAACAAATTCTTGTAAATTCTTGCAATTTATGAGTCGCTGCAAATGCTGATCCTTTCTATGATAGTAATAAACCCACATGACACTCACACTGCTCGTGTTTTTGAAGAAATGGGCGACTTTCAGCATCAATACGAAGAAAAGTTACCTTCTTTTCTGCGTCTTCAGGCTTGCTGAGCTTGGTTTTCAGGGATTTGAGTACAGGGCCACTGGTTTCGGGCTGATCTTGCTCGTTTTTTTTCGGCGACGAGCTGTTTGTCATGGCGATTCCTCCGCTTGTGATCCTCGGATAAAATTAGGGTTTTGCTCCGTTCAACGAGAATCTTTCTGGTTAGGGCTTTAGAACTTGAGTTGGGAATTGGGATAGGAGGACACGGTAGTTTCCTACCGGGGAAAAAACGTTCAGGGACTTGAATAGAGAGTATCAAAATTTGTTGGAGTGAACCAACAGAACTTACTGAAATCTGTGTCTAATCTGGTAATTCATGCAAACACAGAAAGTGGCAGCGTTTTGATTTTGTAGCGGAGAGCGGAGTTGAAGCTTCTGGTAACCAGTGGTGGAAAGGGAAAGGAGGATTTCGCTGTCTCGCCGTGGCGCCAACTACCACCGCCTCCGCCGTCGTTGGCCAGCCGGACCGCCATTAACAATTGAAACAGCGGAAGCGAGAAATTCAAATTCCAAAGTTGAAACGAAACAGAAGCGAAACAGTGCAAGGTTCGTTCGCTTTCGAAGCTGATTATTCGGTAACTAACTTCAATCTTTTCTCTCTCCTTTGCCATGATTGCTTCGTGATGGAATCGAAATTGGTTGAGCGCCCGCACAGCATTCATATCTGAATGTAATGTTTTCTGGGCGATTTCGAATCGTCGTGATAGAATCGAAATTGGGGATTTTGGTTGCTGTGGGAAACTGGAGAAATGGCTGTGAGACAAAGAGCAGTGACCGCTTTACCAAAGCTGATAGAAAGTCTGCGAAAGGAATGCCCTAGGTCTTCACCGCTAATCTCAACGCCTAATCAAGCTATGGTGCTGCCGTCTCTCAGGCGGGCATTCTCTCTTTATGATCAGATCAATCTCATTGATAATGTCCCAGAAGACCAACTGCGGTTCCAGCGGTAATGTAGATGATGCTTCACATTTTTCTTGGTTTCCTTATAGACATTTCCTTACTGACAATTGCATCTCCACGCTTTCCAGTTATACGGATACTGGTTTCACGGTGAATGGGGTTCATTATGAAGGGAGCTTACTTTGCATTGGCAACTTGCTTATGTCATGGACCCCCAAATCATTCTCCCAAATCACTCCAGAGAGGTCATTTCCAGAATCTCATATCTCTCCTAGCTTTCGGTTTTCAGCGACGAAGTTTTGCTACTTGTTTATCTATACCTGGCGTATCCATTCAGTTATTGATTGTTCGGTTGGTATTCTGTAGCTAAAGGCGCCACAGAAAGTTGTGTTCTTCTTGAGTTTTTAATTGCTTAACCGATTAACTAATTTGGTCGCTATATCTGAAATTGGATCTTTCCTGTGCTTGTAAACTACAGTTTATCCATCTTCAAGATTCTACGTCCTGTACCAGGTTAGAGCTTAAACTCCAGCAGGTTCTTGAGTTCATATGTTTGGTCTCTTCAATCACAAGCTAGCATGTTGTATTTCTTAGTCATGATATGGACAAATCGTATGATCCTCAAAGCAATATATGACATGGTCAACTAAAAAATATCTATGTGCTTGTTTGTGCTGAGTGCAATAGCTTCACACTTACAGTAGTTAGCATGGGTCTGCTAGAGTTTTAATTATAGGATTCTTATGTGATTGTATGTGGTGTGTGCAATAACTTTGCAGTTATAGTAAATTCCACTTTCCTCTGCAGCACCTGGATATAATAGATTGCTGCCACGTGTAGCGTATTCGGTTAGTGATGTGGTCTGATAAAGAATTGCTAATAGTGCGAGAGTTGCAGCCAGTTTTCACCAAAATCATGGTAGCACTCTTTTGTCACTGTAAGGTGAACCATTGTAGAATCATGTAAGTTTAGGTCTTGGGAGCAAGTTTCATTCCAAGTAAATTACTTTTCCCTTGGCCCATCTTGCTCCAAGTTATGCACTCTCCTGGTAGTACGCATGCCCTTTTTTCCATCCCAGGTGAGTTCGTGCAGGACATATAGACAAACAAAATTTATCCTCTGATGTCAGATGGGGTTTATACATCTTATAGTTTCCTTACTAATGGAAATTGACAAGCATACCTTGCGCAAATGTCTTTGGTCATGTTAAAACTTACAAGAAGTCAGAAGTCATCCGTACTCATGTTAGATGGCCGAGTATACCAGTCCTGGTACTTCTTGTGTGTACTGTTGTTAGTCTATTCCTTTAATTATCATGTGTGGTTTGTTTCAGAGATTTTGATTCTTGGATGTGGAAAATACATTCAGCCTGTAGATCCTGACCTCAGGCGCTTTGTCCGGTCCACAGGCATGAAGCTAGAAGCAGTTGATTCGGTACTGCCCTGATTATGTAAACTTGGATATCATTAATCAATGCTTTTAACAAGGGAAGATAATTAGACATCTGTTTAAGCAACGGTGCATTATCTCCTTAAATCTGTCAGAATCTCTGGTAGCTTAAAGTATTGAATGCTTTCATAACAAACGAACTGACTTATCTGTCATCCTATGAAATTTATCAGCTTATTCCTGTTCTGCAACTTCTCTTCTTATGCACTGCTATTATATTGGTGCAGAGGAATGCCTCTTCTACATACAACATACTGAACGAGGAAGGAAGAATGGTGGCCCTTGCACTTCTCCCATACGGAGTTTCTTCGTGAGGCCTTGGCAGCCCCAGTCCTCGTATTGGAGTGGCCTCCCTTTGTTACGGTTTCCTTGACCGCTTAAGCAAAGGTCAAGTTTTCAATTCGTAAGCATGTACATTGGGCGAATTCGGGACACTTGCTGTGAGTGAGTAAGGACGAATGGTGTCTGTTATGATGACCAACAATAGATGTGAGATTTGACTGTAGAAGGTTTCTGGCTCACTCTTTGTAAGAATTCTAATAAACTAACAGGGGAATGTTCTTGAAGCCATGAATTTGCTTGCACTGGTGTATCAAATATTTAACGTTCTTGTTTGTTTAGTCATGTTAAAGAATAGTAATGGGAGCATCGATTTGTCATCTCAGGAGGCCGTGATTGTATTCCTTCTCGAGCAAGTAAATTTTGTTTTGGGACTAAAACGGAAAAGGAGGAGATGCCACTTTCAGATGTTTTTCTTGTTCAGCAAGCAAGTGACTTGGCAGCCAAGTTCTATAGGCTTGCTCATGAACTATGTCCTACTATCATCCATTAAATGTCAGGAAGAAAGAAAGTGTTGATGCCCACTCGATCGGCCTACTTCTCTTCCGTACTAGCTGACTCCCTCACGATTAAGCCTGCACTCACAGAGGTGGGCCTTGTGGCCCGTTAGTCCTCCAACGCTCAAGTCAGTATCTTTCTTAGTGAGAGAAGTGCTTGCAATGCACAATTTTAGTGAGAGAAGCCAAATTGAGTAAATGCTTACCCACTTCGCTATTTATAGCCGATCATTGCTTACCTGGACTTTCCCGTACGGATTCCCACGTCACCCTTACATTTAATGCAAGTGATCCCGGGCGCCCGCTCCGAAGGCGATTCCGGGCGCCCTCCCTAGGTGCGCACAACTCACCCTAGGCGCCTAACGCGCAAGTACCATTCCGGATGCTCAGGTCCACTTGCCGTTCCGATCTAAACCCATGGGCGCCAATCACGGCCCACTCCGAAGTCTTGAGCGTGCTCAACTTCTCAGACTACTTGGGCTTCATGTCTCTTAATGGGCCTCACCCACGTGTCGAGGCCTTCTCATTCGTACACCCCCAACAATTGCCCCCCAGTTAGGTGCTCAAGTTTTGGATTTCTTGAGCGCCTAACTACTAGGCTTTTATTCCCTCTTCCAACTTTCATTGCGACTGCTGCTTGCCCCCCACTTCGCCGTGACCTTCATCCCTTTAGAACAGGCGTCTCGATCCTACTGAAACACCTAGGCGCCCCTAGCGGGCCATAGGCGCCCCTGACTCAGGTGCCCCCCTCGTTATTATTCGCCTAACTTTTTCCCGGGTTCCTACATACGGTCACAAAACTTTCCTTCCTCCAGGCGCCTTCAATCTAACCCTTTTGCTTCTTAGTCGGCGCCCTCTCATCGCACCCGGGCGCCTGGAGTTAGCGCTCTCTTCCTTGGGGCGCCCCGTAATCCGCCGTTTTTTAGTAGAAGCTCCCTTTTTCGGGCGCAGCAGTTTCGCCCAGAGCCCACAACAAACACCCAGTCGCTCTCTCTCGTCGTGCGCCCTAGTCGTCCGGGCAATCAGTGTCGCTAGCCCTTAAATCAAAGCGCCTCGCCTCCTTGATTTGACGAAGGCGTCTTGATTGACGAAGGCGTCTTGATTGCCGAAGGCGCCTTGATCCAGCCGCCTCTCTCTCTCCCCTGCCCGAGGCGCCTTGATTCGCCTGCTGCCCTACGCCTTGTGCTCCCGCCGCCTCTCCTCGATTTATCAAAGGCGCCTTCCGATCTAGCCGCTTCTCCTTCTCTCCTGCCCCCCTTCACAACCGCCGGTGTGGGATTCCCAACGACGCGGTTGTGAATCAGCCACGTGGCAATCGGCACGATACTCGAGGCGCTCCATTTTCTTTAAATGTAAGTTGATCCCCGGCATTGTTCTTCATTCGCCCCCGATTTGCCTTCTCACTCTAGCTTCTCTCTCTGCTTTGCCTTTCTCCCTTTTTTAGCGTTCTACTGTTCTCGCCGCGATGTCTCTCCCATCCGATGCTGCCGCCGCCGCCGCGGGCTCTTCTCAAAATCAAGGCGGCCCCTCCAAGACCGGTAAGCCACACTCTCCTTTCGTTTTTTTTTTTTGCGTGAATGCTTGTATTGTTGTGATGGAGGAGCCTCTTACTGCTCCAACGATTGTGCGCCTACTTGACTTGTTTTAGTGGAGGCGCCCGCATTGTCACCCATACCGACGCCTTCATCGAACTACGATGTGCCGGAAGATGGGTCGTACAAGATAACTACTTGGGAAGGCACCTGGCCACCGGAGTATGCGCCGTGGGAGACAACGTGTTTGCCGACAAATGTGGCAGGGCCTGAGCATAACTCCACCATCTCGGCGTCGTGGATGAGAAGTTTGATCGATGGGCTCGGGCTCCCGCGCACCTGGACGTATGCGCCTCCATCTCCCATGGCCAGGGTAGGGTTGTGCGTGCCCCATTGGTTGGGCATATATCAGGAGTATTTCAGGTTCGGGCTCCGGTTTCCTATTGATCCCATTTTGGAGGGCATTCTGGAGTACTGCGAATGCACAATCGGGCGCCTATCTCCGTCCGTGATACTGATTGTTGTGCTCTTCAAGCTGAAGTGCCGAATTCATCATGTGCGCCCCACGTTCAACTTATTTCGCCACTTTTTCTCAGTGATTTCCCGGGACAACTGTCTGTCCTTGAAGAGACGGAAGAAATTGCGCGCCCATTTCGTGACGAAGTGCCCTAAATTGGGGCGCACATGGTTCAACAGGTTCTTCTTTTTGAAGGCGCATAGGGATTACTTCTTCGAAAGTGGAGACGCCTTTAGGACTGACTGGGAGCTTGGTACGGAGGCCCGCTTCAACGCTCCCGTTGTTCTAAGCCGAGAAGAGCGAGATGGGGCTGCCCTAATAAGCGCCTCTCCTGTAAACTTGCGCCCCACTGATGCACGGGCGCCTATTTTAGAGGAATTTTATGCAGATGGTGTGTTGAGTGCCGTTTATGCCTTTTGCATTCTCTTTTGGGCGCCTTAGCTAATCCCTTGGATTTGTTTGCAGGTACGAGATTTGGCCGCATTGCTGACTTGATTAAGAGTCGGTATGAAAGGATGACTCTGGAGGAGCCTCAACAAGGAGGGTCCAACCTTGGGGAGTCTTCCCCCGCCTCAGTCTCCACTCCACAACCGCTGGTGGCGCCTATGGAGAAAGGGAAGGGAAAGGCGCCCGGAGAGAAGACCACTGGGGCATCGAGCGAGGCGTCCACACCCTTGGGCGCAGATGGCTTGGAAGGCCGCGTCATAGTCGAGGACGTGGATGATCAAGAGGATGAAGTGCCTTTGATCACTCGTGGGAAGAGAGGAGGCGCCCAAATGACTCCACTAGCAAAACGGCACAGAGCTGACAAATGAGAGGGAGGCGTCGCAAGTCAAGGCGATGGCCAGCCCCCACGATATGCAATCGTGGAAGGGCGCCTATTGGGGCCCGATGGAAGGCCCCCCATGCTTCAGCCCAGGCGCACCGACTTGGGGCGGGTGGCCTTGTCTTGTTCTCCACGAGCAGCAGTGGAACGTGGATGCGCAATGGGCCTGGCTCTTTCGGCGTCGAAACTTCTGCAGGTGCCCTCCTCGATCTCGGAGGATCATCCATGGGCTGAAGTCGCCCGAATGGGAGCCAAGGTATGTTCATTCGCGCCTAAATTTGCCTTGCACGTTTTCCCTTTGTGCAGATGTTCCTTTTTTTTTTTTTACTTGGGCGTTTTTTCACTTGGGCGTCTTATATTTGTGCAGATGCTCCTTCTTGCCGAGGCAGGCGCCCGGAAGACAGACCTGGCGATTGAGGAGTGTCGCGAGGCTCGGGCGTCTTTGTCCTCCATGAAGGACAACCTTGACACCGCGACCATGCGCCGCGAGCAACTTGTGAAGGAGTGTGAGGAGGCGCAATTGGAGGCGGCAAAGCAAATCTCGGCGCTTCAAAGCACGCTGGAGGAGGAGCGTCGCCAACGGGATGCCGAATTTGCAACCCGTATGGAAGAAGAGCGCCGAGATTTTGAGCAAAGGCTAGGCGCCTTGACCGCGGAGAAGGAGGCCCTTGCCCGAGATCTGGACGCCCGCGGCGCCGAACTTGTGACCTTGAAGGAGGAGAAAGGCGCCCTTCAGGATGAAGCGAAGGCGGCCGCCTACCGCCGCAGAGATTACAAGAAGGCGCTCAGGAGTGTGCGGGAGGAAAAAAGGTCTCTCAAGGCGTCGCTTAAGAACTTTCCCAACTCTGAGGCAGGGCAAGACCTAATTGCCAAGGCGTCCCTCGATAGTTTGGTGCTTGCCAAGAGGAAGCTTGACCAGGAGTACCCCGACATCACCGTCAACTTCCCTGACCTTGTGAACTTTGTTATCGAGGAGATGCAAAAGGAGCAAGAGGAGGCGGCTGAGGATGGTTCGGCGCCTGCGGGAGAGGGGGGGCGCCTTCGTCACCAGGGAGCGAGTCGTCCATGAGTGATTCGTCGGAGGCCGAGTAGTGAGGGCGCGCCTCTTTTGTGGCATGTACTATTGTTTTTCTTGGATGTTCGTCGATTTGCTTTTCTCATAAACTGTTGTTTGGGCGTATGCCCTTTGTGCCTTGTCAAATTTCTGCTCGCCTTTGGATGCTTACCGTGCTCCCAACTCTTTTTAGGGCGCGTTATGTCTCAGGGCGCATTTTTTATTGCACTTATCGTTTCTCATACTTTCATCGGGCGCATTATTTAATTGGGCGCTTTATTTTCATGGGCGCGTATTTATGGGCGCTTTCGAATTGTAGGTTTTCCTGATCTTGGGCACAAATGTATGGGTGCTTTACTAAGTGGGCGCAAATTATTATGGGCGTGTTCGTTCCGGGCACATATTTCACGGGTGCTTTACAATTGTGGGCGCATTTCTTACTCGGGCGCATTAGTGGAGAGGAAATCATTCTAGGGAGTTTTTTCATAAACACAAACACAGGCGCCTTAAAACGACGAGCGCTTTGATTACACGACACGAGGCGCTGAACACAACAGGCGCTTTTGATTACACATCACTACATACTCCCACAGGCGTTCCCCTTTTGCTTCTCATACTGCAGCCTCCTTGCCCCCCGGTTGGGCACAATACGCACGCAAGTTCTGCGCGTTCCATGTTCTCTTCACTGGCTTTCCATTCAGATGTTCCAACTTGAACGTAGCCGCTCCGATGACTTCCTTCACTCGATACGGGCCTTTCCACTTGGGAGCAAGCTTGCCCTCCTGCGCACAGGGCCTGAAATCTCTCTTGAGGACCAGAGCGCCTATGGAGATGTCATGAGGGCGCATTTTTCTGTTATAGTATCGGGCAACTTGCCTCT